TTTTATTTTATTATTTGTCTATGTCGATGTTATAATACGATTTTATGTGTTTTTAAGAAAGCAATAACGATTTTATTTTTGAATAAAACTAGAAGAGTATTGGTGCAATGCAACGAGACACATTTCGATTTTAATGTTCTATTTTATTATTTGTCTCTGTCGATGTTCTAATACGATTTTATGTGTTTTTAAGAAAATAATGATTTTATTTTTGAATAAAATATAAATTTGAAAATATCATAAAAAATTGAAAAAAAAAAGATATATCAATGTTAATATCAAATCAACTATTTAAAATTTTTCATTTTTTATGTAATTTCTTTAATTTATTTTTTTATTATAATTTAATTTAAGTTTAATAATAAAATAATTTATTTTTTATTTAATAATATAAATTTTATAAAGATAATAACTAAGTATTTTGTTAGTTATTAATAATTATTCTAATTATATTTTATATTTTTTATATATAAAACGAGATGTTTATTCAATATTTGATCATGTTTATCTGCAGTTGGTCAGACGAATTCAAATATGGAGTTTTAATAAGTTGTACTTATGCACAATTTACTTGTAATTTTAAATTTTAAGTAATATGCATCAATAAACAGTACYTCRTGCATAAAAAATTGTTTTTAAGAGTTTTTGTCAAATATTTTATAATATAGTATAGATATATAAATTTGAAAATATTATAAAATTTTGAAGATAAAAAAATATCAATGTTAATATCAAATCAACTATTTAAAAGTTCTCATTTTTTATGTATTTTTTTAATTATCATTTAATTTAAGTTTAATAACGAAATAATTTATTTTTGGTTTAATAATATAACATTTTATAAATATAATAATTAAGTATTTAATTAGAACTCAATGATTATCCTAATTATATTTTAGATTTTTTATATTTAAAATRAGATGTGTATTTTGTATTTGATTATGTTTATCTGCAGTTAGTTACACGAATTCAGATATGGAGATTTAATAAGTTGTACTTGCATACAATTTACTTGCAATCTTGAGTTTTAAGTAATATTCATCAATAAACAGTACTTTACACATAAAAAGTAGTTTTTAAGAGTTTTTATCAAATGTTTTATAATATAATATAGATAGTCATTATTTTTGTTTAAATGTAAATATCTTTATTTATATTATTTTATATATAAAAACTTAAATATTTAAATTTTAAATCATCAATAACCATTAACGTTTATGGCATGTCAAGAGTTTTTGGTTGAAAATCTTTAAAATAATTTGATTTTAACGTTTTCCAATCAAATGTATTTAAATATTTAAAAATTTTGTTTAGAAAATCCGAAAAGACGGGTTGAAAGGTAAATGCGTAATAAGTTTTTAAATAAATTTTTTATTTGAATTTGTTTATAAAAATTAAAAATGCCCTTATGTAATACTATAAAGGTACTCGTATAATACATTGAGATGCATCTTGATTTTAATATTTTGTTTTATTTATTTTTTATGTCGATATAATACGGTTTTATATGGTTTTGAGAAAGTGATAATGTTTTTATTTTTGAATAAAATATAAATTTGAAAATGTTATAAAATTTTGAAGAAAAAATTACCGATATCAGTATCAAACTAACCTTTTTAAAAATTCTTGTGTTTTGGTGTAATTTTCTTAATTTAATTTTTTAATTGTAATTTAATTTTGGTTTAGTAACAAATAAATTTAATTTTAGTGAATTCAGACTTCAGATTTCAGCACATCTTAAAAAACAAACGCCACCAAACTCTTTTGTCTTACTAGGCACAAGAGTTATCTTAACCTTCTTACGTTTTGATTTCCTGTGGCCTGTCTCCCTGCAATTGAAGCACTTAAAACGATTGCTACTTGCCCTTTTGGAGTTGGCCCTACACTGCTACCCACCGACTTTTACTGATTAGGGCCAACACAGGGTAGAAGGCTACTAGAACCAAAAGTTTCTCCAGTATTGGCAAACAAGTAAGAACACTCCACGATTTTTTTCTTCTCAAAAGGCAAAGCTCTTTGGTGTGCCCTAGAAAAATTACTGGATCAAACAGGTTCACATAATCCATGATCTGAACCCTTAGACCCCCAATATATCGAGCAACAAGTTGTTGCCTCCGACTCTTGAATATCATTGCGAGCAACCAACTGATAAAACTCAATTATGTAATCATCAGCTGAATAGGCCCCCTGCTTCAAATTTTGCAGTTGTTGGTACATCAACCTTTGAAAATTGTGGGGTGAAAAGTTGGACTGCAAATACTTTTTCATCTTCTCCCACGTCAAAATCTTTGACATGCCACGACTGCTTTGAGTTTGTTTTAATTGTTGCCAGCATAGAGAGGCTCTTCCACGTAGCCTAGTAGCAATCGACACACTGCTCGTTTTGTTCTCGTGCACCTCTTTGGACTTGAACACTTCTTCCATAGCAGCCAACCAATCTATGAGCCCTTTCGGATTCAAACTATCCCCATCAAATCCCAGGATATCACTCCTCATCACAACCTCCCAACAACACCTGTTATCAAATTCTGGAACTGGTCTTACCTGTCCTGTCGGATTTCTTTCGGGAGACGAACCATCTCCTTAATAAAAATTAAAAAAAGAAGCTAAAAAGACGATATTACCCCATACTTTAACGGACTTTTCTAGCTTATAAAATAAAATATTACATTTTACAATACACAACTAATGAATTTGTATTACATGTTTTTAATGTGAATATTTGTTTTTAGTAGAAATTGGAGTAATTAATTTAATTAAAAAAATAATAATAAAAGAAATATAAAGGTTTAAAGCTTAGAATAAACCACTTTTATTTTAAAATGTATAAAAAATGTTTTTAAATTTTAAAGCAAACCCAAATAATTAGGTTAAAGCATTGTGCATATTATTATTTATTTAACAAGCCATACCAAACCACCATTACATGTTTCCTTGATTTTTTAAATACTAAATTTGCTTACAATTTTTTTTTATTAATTTGAATATTTAATCCGTTATTCGAGTCGACCAATCTTAAGATGACACCTGCTTTGTGGGTGACCTGGAGTCACCGTATTTGACCCTCTGTGGATTTAAACCTGAGATCTTCAGATACTTTTGGTTTTTGGAGTCAAACTTAAACCAATCAAGCAAAACCCTTGTGGAATGGATTGTTACAGATTTGGTCTTTATGGGTTTTGATTTATCTTGGATGCAAGATCATTTACTTTATCGGATAAAATTCTAGTTCATCAAAACAACATTAATATGTAACAATTTACCCGGTTAGTGTAAGATTATTACATTCATTTATCTAGTAAAACTATCGGTCATTGTCATCGTTTTTGCAGGACAAGATTATCAACCATTGACATGTTCATCTGATAAGGTAAGTGATTCGATAAGTGTTTACTGGATAAGCGTTTGACAAACAGATCCTTAGTCTCCATAATTTTTTCATTACAATTTTTCATAACTGAAAATCGTAGAGACTATTTCAAAAAACAAGTGTAAGACCGCATGAACCAAAACCTTGATTTACTCATTTTTAGAAGACTAGAAGGGTACTCGCGCAATGCAACGAGATACAACTCGATTTTAATGTTTCGCTTTATTTTGTCTCCGTCGATGTTATAATACAATTTTATGTGGTTCTGGAAAACGATAATGTTTTTATTTTTTGAATAAAATATAAATTTGAAGGTATCATAAAATTTTGAAAAAAAAATGTATGAATTTTAGTATCAAATCATATGTATACCCATCTCTAAATCTGTTGAAATCGATAGATATCAGGATATGGATGAATGTTAGCTTTTGATGGAAGATTGAAGTTATCTAAACCCCGCTTAGGTGTTTCAATAAGTTGTACACAAGCATTGAAAAATTGTAGATGTGAAAAGTAAGTAAATAGCATATATACCAGTACATAATGCTTAAAAGATTGTTCTTAAGAGTTTTTGTCAAATGCTTTATAATATAGTATAGATAATGTTTCATCGATTAATATCTGCCATTTTTTGATATGATCCATCAAGGTGAAAATGTTGGATAAATTAGAAAAAGATCAAGAGACGAGGAAACTCTCTCAATTGGGCGATGGATCAATACCTAAGGTTTTGGGGTAATGATACAACACAAAAATGGAAGATTCCTATTTATTTTGCTTAACTTGTATTTAAACACCAGTTTTTTCTTGTAACTATGGGTTTTTAAGTCAGTTTACATGTGTCCACTAATCTCTGAGTGATCACAGATGACCATGGCTACAAGGGCTTTGACAAGCATGGGTTCGAACCAGGGAAATATGAGATCAATGAGACTCACAACTTATTCGATTGACTATACATGACTGTTTGGTAGTGACTTAATAATATAAAAAATGACCCATTTCGTGAACTTCTAGTGAGGGAGTCTTATGCAGAAAGCCAAGTTTTTTTTCTTCGAAACATGTCCCTCCCAATTAAATAGATGAATACATATGGGGTGTCGAGTTGACCTGGGTTTCATGCGTCAAATATTATAGATGCATACATTTTCTTATGTCCGACATGTTTTTAATTTTTTGCGATTTGTACCTTCTTTAAACTTTTCCGTTTCTTACTTCTTACGGTGACTATTATTACAAAGACATTTACAGAATTCTAAGGTCTTTAGCAATCAGAGGTCTCGTTCAACAACACAACCTATCTCAGACCAACCGTACCGCACCTTGAAATCTATAAACGAGTGTAATGGTTCCGGACGTTGGGCCATGGGCCCATTTAATTAATTGTATACATTTTAAACCAACTATTAGATTATAATTTTGATGCAAATATTAAAAGGATGGTTATGGATTAGAATTAGAGTATGGAGTTATATTTGAAGGGAAGTGAAGGTTGTATTTGTAACAAAGTATAATATAGGGGGCTCGATGTAACTTTTTTGTTATATTATTGATATCATTATTACATCAAACACAACTCCAGATTCCACTCTCTTTGATCCCTTCCCATTTTTCAGATCTTTCGAACATCGATTTCTTCCTCACCAAGTCTTGTAATTGGGGCGGAGTCTGTGATTCAAATCGTTAATTTGATCGATTTTCTCAATCAATCTTGGGAATTTCTTCAGTATGTCGAGGGAATTTAACGTCCCGCCTGTGATTTTCCCGTCCGGTGGAAACCCTAACACCGGCCCCCAACGACGCCTCCCTACGGCGCCTTTTCAGCCACCGAGATCTTCAAACCCTAGTATCCCTTTTATGTCGTTTGACATCGGCTCCTCTCCCGCATCCACCTCCTTCTCGACTCCTCAATTCGGCAGCATTGGCAGCGGCAGCGCCAGCGCGAACTTCGATGACGAACCACCTCTTCTTGAAGAGTTAGGTATAAACACTAAACAAATCTGGAACAAAACGGCCTCTATTTTGAATCCGTTTAGAGTGAAAGCAGATCTCCACGAAGATGCCGATCTATCGGGTCCGTTTTTGTTTCTTATGGCCTTTGGATTGTTTCAATTACTTGCTGGGAAGTTGCATTTCGGGATTATTTTGGGGTGGGTGACCGTGGCATCTCTGTTTTTGTACGTTGTGTTTAATATGTTAGCAGGACGAAATGGGAATCTTGATTTGTATCGGTGCTTGAGTTTGATCGGTTACTGTATGTTGCCGATTGTGATATTGTCTGCCGTAGCGTTGTTTGTACCCCAAGGTGGTCTGGTGATCTTTGTAATGATGGGTATTTTCGTCATATGGTCTACACGGGTGTGCACGAGGCTGTTGGTGGAACTGGCATCTTGTGGCGATGAGCACCGAGGGCTTATTGCGTACGCATGTTTCTTGATCTACATGCTGTTTTCATTACTAGTTGTATTTTGATATGGATTTGGTGCTACCTGTTTAGCTACTGCTATTCTTTAGATATCATTTGGGGTTTAACATAGTATTGTTTCTTTTCTTTTTCTTTCTATATTTGGAATGGAAGAGTACTTTTGTTGTTCAGACGAGGAGGGGATTTTGTGAACTAGCAGATAGTAACTTCAGGTTTTATCATGAAAGAATGTAGAGTTGCTCATGCTTGTAGCCTTTGGTCAATTTGCTTGTCTTTGTTATATACTTTTGATCTTTGCTTGGCTGTAACTGCAAGGTCCTATTATCTTAACTCAACCAAGATTCATATTGTGGATCCTGTTATTTGTTTTGGGTACCCGGGCCAGCTTACGCCCACCGACTAACCATGGATAGTGTTATTGTCATCATGTTTGGGAGTTATTATAGCACCGGTATAGATGGACATAGTGGAGAACTAATAGCTTGAACTGGTAACTGTGAGGTATCAGGTATGGCTGGACATAACATATGTGAAGCTAACTTGTTCTTAATGTACAAAGAATCTTGGTGGTTACCTGAGCTGAGTTTTGCTAAAGGTGTTTTTGAGGTCACCAACTAGTTGTAACGTGGGATTCTAAAAGTACAATTATCATGCCTATGAATTACTACAGTCTTGGTAAAGTAGTACTTAAAAATTTTCAATGAAGAAGCTGTGCACACAAATAACAATCTCAGTAACAAACTAAGATAAATTAATGAGGTAGGGCTTTATGGTAATGAATTTAATGTGGCATATAATTGCACCCAAAATGAATTTAGGTCCTTGCACCAAATATTCCAAAGTTGGCAATTAGGAGGTTATTGGTGCCACTTGGTGCCATAGGTGAGGGTTAACCAGGAGCGGGCCTTTTGGCTTACTTATCAGTCCTACGGCTCTACTATTCTTTGTTTTTTGCTATGTTTAGGTTCTTGTACTTTTTTCTATGCCTTTCCTGTATTTACTTGTTTTACCTTTTTATTTTCGTTATTACCCATTGTACTTGCTTCTTCTACATTTCCACAACTCCTCTTACTTTTCATTAACCTGTCAATCAAGGCTTTCTAATTTTTTGACAAGGTGTCTGGGTCTCTCGACTTCCCCAGAACTTTTTCCCAAAAACTTTTCTCTAAGCCGGTGGTCTTCATGGAAACCTCTCTGCTCCTTGCGATAGAGGTGAGATATGCGTACATCCTTGGTCCTTTATTTCTATCCACGGATGCCAAAACTAAATGGTATAAAATTTAAATTATGCAATAATGATATTGAAACAAAAATACATAATAGAAAAGCTATATTCTTCTATCTCTAGTCAAAAAATATAAATACAATTAACAGATTTAACATATTAAGATACTTTTGAACATATCTATAACAAATATGAGGGAACATAAACATATAATGACTAATATAAACTATAAAGTTATAAGCACCTTGACTCAATTAACATATTTAATATGAAGTTATAAGTACAGACCACATTTAACATCTAAAAAGATATTAACACTTGAAATTTAAAACATGAACTATCAAGTCATTAACTTATATAACCTAGAACTAACAACAGATTTTGAGACATGACTGTTCTACGATTAACCTATAGCACGTGACCATAAATCTTGAATTCTAGGTGTACCCTGACACAAGGTTGCATAACAGATTATCTTTCACAGGTTAAACCAAACCTGAGCCTCCTCTTTTGATGGTAAATCGAGGCCCCTGCTATGATCTATATATAAAAGGTTGATCCTAACCTAGACTTATGGAATAGATCCTATAATCAAATGAAAATGGAAACACTCATGCCTGCTAAGTGCTAAAATTTTGCTGGCATTGAAGTTGGTTCTAGTTGCTGTATTTATGGTGCTCTTTTATTACTTCCTACTATGCTTCTTGGCGAAATTTTTGGCTTCCATTTTTTCTTTAGAATGCTTTATTATTTTTAGTTATTTTTGAAGGGTGGTAAGTTGCTTTTCTCGTAATGCTGAAGTGTCGTACTTTCTCAGACGCTAGATGAGAACATTTCTGGATTGCCCCAGTGATATCTTAAATCATCAGGCTTCATTGTTAGATAAATGATATCTAAATACATACTTACAACATGCTGGAATACTTGTTAGCTTCTGAAACCAATAGTCAAGCATTCATTTGTGTGTGAGTTTTTATATTTATATGCACATGAATGTCGGTATGCTCCATATTCATTGATGGGTTATATGTCTGCTTTGAGGAGGTGCATGATTCGAGTGACCTCTTAAGACGACATATATGGATATACATTTGATCTAATCTAATAGTTGGCATGCCCTTACTCTAGAAACTTGGGAAATCTGTGTGATTAATGTGCTGGAAATTTAGGTCATCTTTGGTCTTGCTTTGTTGCCAGACTGTTCTGTGTAGCAAGGAATTGAATTGGGGCTCGTTTAGAAAACACTTACCGAGTAAGTGCTTACCAGTTGTCACTTACCTTACCAGGTGAAGGGGTGAGCATGACAAGGACCAAATATTTTAGTCGCTAAGTGAGAGAGAGAGAACTCTTACGTGGTTAGAACTTACAGGGTAAGAGACGCTTACCAACAATCCAACTGGATGGCCGACAATGATATGTGACAAGATAATTGAGGGTGGTGATCTTGGCGGTAAGTGCTTACCCGGTAACCATTTGGTAAACAGCCTTTTTCTGGTGCATGCTGCTTTTGCACAAGATGATTTTTGAATTGCTTTTTAGGCTTTAGATGTCATTTTTTTGGAAGGAAACTCAGAAAGAATGTTGTTGAGTTGGGTTTTCTGGTGTACAGAAACTAGTCATTTTCTAGGATTTGCTGGTTGTTGTTGTCGTCCCACATCAGCTAGACTTGTACCATTTCTTCTGTATATAATGTTGGAACCTCTCTTTTCTTCTCAATGGCTCGTTTGGAGAATGATTTGGGGGTTTCACATATTCTCACATGACACATAGCCGAGGTGTGCCACTCTAAGGACTGGTCATTAGAGCTGGCTAACCCCTCTCGGCACTTGGGACAAATTGTGTTGGTCTGGTGGAGCCCTATATTGGCTAGACTTGTACCATTTCTCTTGTGTATGTTGAAACCTCTTTTTTCTTCTCAAGGGATCTTTTGGAGAGTGATATGGGGTTGCACTTATTCTCACACCGGTCAACTTTTTGCATGTCCATAAAAGTAGCAGCTTATTGGTTTTGCATGTCCATAAAAGTAGCAGCTTATTGGTTATTAATTTGAGGACTGACAAATGAGAACCTGTATAACAACTTCACCCTTGCAGGATTTGTATAGTTAAAAATATATGATTGTAAGCAGTGTTTGCTTCTATTTGTACATGTAAATCTTCTCTTTGCCTCATCTGTGTAATTTTTTGGGGGTAACATTTTAGGGATTTTTGGTGTCATCTATAATTATTAAATTCTAAATGGATACAAGTAATTTGGGGATCTTTACGTCAGATGGTGATCCAATTTTGTTTGATAAACCTGGCATTTGACAAACAATATTAGAATGCAAAGACTTTTCAAACTTCCTTGATTGATTTACACGTCGAGAGTAGTGTACATTGAGAGGGTATAATACATATGTAATATTGGTGTGTACCAATTTGTTTTCTAAACTTTCATGATTCATGTACGAATTAAAGAAATACTGCTCTATAAAGATTCTTATATGTTGTACTTTTCTTTGTCTAGAGTTTTATTTTCTTTCCATTGGATTTTTGGTTTTCTGGTACAAGGTTTTAACTAGACAACAGTTTATGAATCATTGCTCATTAACTCGATACAAATCTTTATAATAAAAATGGATTACTTGTCGGCCTAAAGAGAATTGATAAAAAAGACGTGACAACTTTGAGTTTTTTCTCCTTACATGATTTTCAAGCTTTCTTGTTGTAAGGCGACGAATCTACGAATCTAAGTTTTTTTTTTAAAGTATATAATAAATTTATATACGACAAATGCAACAAATAAATTCACACATCCTTCTCACTTATGGGGAGATTTGAACCCCTGACCTCCTAGAAGGCCAAGGGCTATGATACCGCTAGGCCAAAGGCCCTTTGGTACATTAGCATGGTAATTGATTAATTATTCAACCGGTTATCCGAATACTTAAAATGTTTAAAACTTTACATCTTAAGTATTAAAATAGAAGTTTTGAAAATACGTTACTTAAAATAAAAATCAAGTTAAAAGTACGTTACTTTTTCATAGAGTTTGTTCTTTAAATAATCATAAGGTTTTATCCATTTCTATGTTTTGACAAAGGCAAATAGTGAAATAGGCAATTGCCGTTTGAACTTTGTCAAGGGATATAAAGGGTTATTTTACTAATATGAATGGCGAAATTTGTCATTTTGTATAAGTTAGGGGGGTCAAAGTGGAAGAAATCTTTTTAACTTTGGAGTAACTACCAGTCGACACAAATGGTTGTGTGAGGCTAGCTAGCTTGTGGTTCTACTCGGGGCAAATGGCGGGAACGCTTCAAACCCTAATAAGCCTCACTTCTCCGGTGACCGGAGCCGCTCCGTTCCGATCGAGGAACCACAGGCTGACGTCATCACTTTTTGGCTTTTCCGGCAATCGTTCTTTCGGTTCCATTGACAGCAAGCCATCGTTTCCTCGAAAACTCCGTTCATTTACCGGAACACTCGTAATAAGAAACAGCACGAATTCCGCTCAGGTTTTTTAGTTTTTTACATACTATTTTATTCGTCTAAGAGGTGTACATAATTGAAATTACCTGCTGTGGAAAGTGGAATTACAACTGATAGGGTTATAATTTATATGTATGATATGAAGAGTAGTAGTGTGGTCGGAGTTTCAGGGAAATGATGATGCGAATCAACCTCCACAAGAGTTGGGACTTTCGAACTTTTTGGTTTCTGCAGAACCTTTGTTGAAATTTGCTGCTAGCAATTTTCTGCCATTAGGTAATGTTGTCTGTTTCTGTATAACTGGATTATTTATGTGTTTATGATGTTTTGTTTGAATGTTACAAGATAGGGAGCTGGAAAAGGACAATTTGAAGATTTTGTGTAACTTGGCTAAATCTAGCATTCTAGCTAAATTCTTTTTTGAGATTAGTGAAGTTATTGACTTAGTTCCTTTAGCCAGAAAAAATGTCAATAAAATGGTCCAAAAACCAAGTGGCCTTTGACTCAGTGGTACCGGCCTCTTTACAACCCTTACATTGTGATTTCAAGTATGTTTTGTCTGAGATCCTTGCCATTGTAAAATGAAAGTAAAATTAACTGGTTCAAAACATGTAGCATTGTGATGGATAACAACAATCACAAGTTTTTTTTTAGTCCGATCTTTTTATTAGCAGGCTTAATGAAACCGGTGGAAATTATATAGAGGTGAACGTATTGGGTTCTTGGAAATTAATAACATCATTCCATTTGCTCTTATGCAAGAGTAAGGCTAACTTCCTTGATGTATTTCACCAGCTCAAGTATCTTTTCACTGCTTCCTGCATGTTGATCTTTGCCAAATGTTGCGTCTTCTAATGGCCTCCTCTTGGGAAGAAAATTGTTTTTCTTTTTGAACCAACTAAGTTGACATTCTTGGTAAAGAGGCAACAGCTTGGGTGGCTGATTAGCTAATCCAGATTCGAGAGAGGCTAGCACTTCTGTGGTAGATGCATGAAATTATATAGTATGAATAAAGTAGTGCTCTGCTCATATGCTCATATCTCCAATAATAAGTTGTGTGGCATAGGGCGAAGTGGGCCTTTTAAATGAGCTAGACAATCTCTATGACGACCATACCCAGGAACAGAGTTGAATAATTGGAGACCTGATTGATAAGAAGGATGTTTTTGGTATTTTGACATTTTTCTTCTCAAATCGTTTTTTTTTATTAACCTGGATATCCAACCCGCTATGCGAGCCGACTAATCCCAGGGCGACCACTTGCTTTGCAGATAGCCCGGAGTCACCGCATTTGAATCTCCGTGGCCACAATGGGATTTTTATTCCTCCTTGGATTTGAACCTGAGACCTCCTGGTACTTTTGACCTTTGGAGCCAAGCTCAAACCAATCAGGCACCACCCTTCTCAAATCGTTTTTGCATCATCATTACTGGCTAATCTTATATTTGTGATGAATCAGATCCTCTGTGATATGGTTACCGTATTTATTGTTTTACAGAACATAACTTACTGATACTTGGTTTTTTGATTAACCCGGTGCAGCGCTTATCGGAGGAGTAGCATTAGGCCTCACAAATCCTAGTCTCGGATGTCTTGCTCATAGTTATCATTTATCAAAATTCAGCACTTTTGGGATATTTATCATATCAGGTAAGAAGATGAGACTGTTAGTCAGAGCAATCTTTATTTTAATGGTTTAATCACTTGAAAGAAAGTCATACTTCTATTGATACATCAATATGAAAAATATTGTATTTACGTGGTAATTTGACAAACTTACTTTAATCCATGCAGCAACTAATGCTTTAGTCAATTTAAGGACTGACATTTAACAATTTAATGTAGCATGGCAAGTTATTTTTTTAAGCCACTAGGAAGTTCCATGTATACAAGATCTACATGGTGGCCCTTGCCCTTTAGGAGAATTATCAAAAAGCCTCCTCTTATCTTTACACTATCAGGGCAACAGTTTCCTGGAAAGAACCTGATCAACAAAAACGCCCAAAATATGACACCAACTCAAATTGGCCTCAATTAGAGTTGCTTGTGACTCATAAAGGGTCTCCAAATCAAGGGCTGAGAATCATATGGCAAAGGAGGTGTTTGAATGGAGGTGAGTCAACCCCACCGCCCCCTTCTGCAGCCACCCATTGGTGGTCAATCAGCAAATGATTGGGCACCTTCTCAAAATTGGACCTACTTCTAGGACGGTTTTACTACATAGAATTAACGATTACTAATTTCAATAATACCTGCTTCACAGCCTCTTCACTTTTCGTCAGATAGCTATACCCGCAATGTAGAGCTGTGGTCCATACAATGGATTGAAAACTTGTCTCGTGTTGTTTGAAAGGATTTTCAATTCATGTTAAACAAGTTTAGAGATCTCTAGGTGTTACTAATCCTTTTACATATCTCGTCTTGAAGAAGGGGAGGTCTTTGCCTTTTCTTCATTAGTTTGCCTTTGTTTCTTCTTTCATATTACTTTCTAAAGAACATGAAGGGTATTTGAGAAATAACAGATAAATTTTTTTCTGTTTGTTTAATTGATAGAACCATGATAATTCCTTAAATAATAGAGTTGTGCCATGTGTTTTAATATATATTTAAGCGTACATTTAATAGATACTTTAAAGTCAGCATGCCTCATGTAAAGTCTACATGCAATGTAAGAATATTTTATTGGGAGATCTAAGCTTTTAAAGTTGTTAAATTGGTTAAACAACTTTACTTTGTTAAATTCGCTAATGGCTAACTGTATGCCTTTTTGGTTATAAACCATTTTAATCACCATATCCTTCTTGTTTCCACAAACAGGACTGACACTGCGTAGTGAAGAAGTTGGTGCAGCTGCTGAAGCATGGCCAGTCGGACTTTTTGGCCTAGTATGAACTAAAAATTATATAATTGCCATCTTGATTTTGTAGGTTCATTTTTTCACTTTCCTTTTTCATCTTGCAGATCACTTTAACAGAAGTGATAGCGTTAGCATCTGGGAATTTTTGTTAGTAATTATAGGAGTATGGACTGAATCAAATTTTGAACTCAAAACTTGTGTTGTTTTTGCTACTCTCTGACTGGCATCATACATAGTTCAATAAGCAATTTGTGTGTAAAGTAAATGATGATGTTCTGATACACTCCCTGATTGTTGTCAGTGCAGGCTTCTATTTTATTGTTTACTCCCCTCCTCTCCAGAATTGTCCTGCAACTTCACCTCCAACCTCAAGAATTTGTCACAGGTCTGGCCATAGAAAAGGACCTGCGATACATTTATACTCATTAACAATTAGAAACATATAAACTGGCCCCAACTTCCTACTACATGTCTCTAAGGTTCCAGTTAATGATAATAAAGGTCATTTAAGTTTCAAAATAACAGACAGGTCTCTTAACTTCCATGAGAAATGCAAACAAAATCTCAAATCTCTTAATTGGCATCACCAGCTTCCATCCTGTATCTTTCTAAATCTCTCATTTCTTGAAGTAGTTTCTTTGCTTATCCTTTTGTCATTTTCTATATTTCCTACAGGACTAGCTCTATTTTGCTGTATGCCAACAACATTATCAAGTGGAGTTGCTCTAACCCGGGTCAGTTGATTGTTCTAGAAAACTTTCTCTAATTACTGATTTGGTTTTAATCACTACAAGATTGAGAAAAGTTGATTATGACCAGAGATATGAAATTCGGTGATGCAGCTTGCTGGAGGTAATTCAGCCTTGGCTCTTGCGATGACTATAATATCAAGTCTGTTGGGAATTCTGATTGTAAGTTTGAAAGCAATGACCTTGATGTTCCTGCCTAAAATAGTTTACATACTTTTAATAGAAATTTGTGGTACCATCACATCATTGTGACTTTAAAACCCAAGATTGTAAAATATTAGTCAACCTACATTTTTCGAACTTCCCTGCAACTTCAGTGGCTCAGTGCTAATGTGATGTGTATTCTTTTTGGCACATCTACCTTCCAATGGATGGTTTGATGCATATTCCTTTTCTCCATTCATTATTAGGTGGTCAAGAAGAATCAGCAGTATGACATAATTGCTAAAGCAGTTACTATTTTCCATAGAATTTACTAGTTTATCTGAACCTTAAAAAAACTTCTAGAAACTTCATGGGCATCCTCATTGTCATTTGGGACATAAGGGAAATTATTGTTTGTAATGTTTAATAAATAGTTTCCTTCATTGATACCTAATTGTGTTTTCAACCTGATTATATAGGGATTTCGGCCCAATAGACATGAAACTAGATTCCTAGAGCTAAGAGGATCCTAAAAAGCTAGTACATGATATACCCTAATCATAATACAATATCTCACACCTGAACATCAGGGATGCAAATATTTTGGGTAGTTTTGACATTATTTATATTGTCATCTCCTCATGCAGTCGTGCTTACATGTAAGCATGCTTGTACTTGTTTCTTCTGGTGCATTATACACTATCTATTTTGCTAACTTTGTGGATTCTGTTTTTCTAGTTTGTTCATGCTGAAGGGTAGTTTATATTAGTCCTCGAGTTATTTTGGTTTTTTTTTCATGCACCCATAAAATATTCAAGTTCAAGGAGATGGTGCAAGTTCCCTTATGCTAGACCAGATTGATATACCATCCTCTAGATCGATTTTACCAATTAAATGATTGAATAGAAGTTTAGGTCTCTTCTTTTTGTGAATTTTTCAACCCTATGTAAATATCTCATCCATTTAATAACTACATCCACCCCAGATTCCCTAGAAGCATCTCTGGATCAAAACTGTATAAACCACTTATCTAAATATATTTATATTGTAGTATGTTTTAGTTGTCTCTTCAGAGTGAACTTCTCATGGACAAGTATAGTTTAAGCATTATTCTCATTTATCGTGCATTCCATATCTTGTAGGTTCCTTTTTCTATATCAAAACTTATAGCTGGTGGAATGGGTGCATCTGTTCCGGCTGACCAATTATTCAGAAGCCTTATTGTCACACTTTTGATACCTTTGATTTTGGGGAAGGTAACACACTGTTTGTCATGCTTTCACTGAGACATTTATATCACGGAACCTTCATAAGCTATGTTTGGCATACTAGCTGTTGGCTGATAAGCTAGCTGTTGGCTGATAAGCTAGCTGTTGGCTGATAAGCTAGCTGTTGGCTGATAAGCTAGCTGTTAGTTGATAAACTAGTCACGTTTGGTAAAAACTAGCCGATAGGCTAGATGACAATGTGAATTTACCTAAAAGGATTGGTTCTTGGTCATTTATGTAAAATATAAGGGGCATTGTTGGAAAAAAGTGACAAAACTCCTGTTGCTTAGTGAATGCTACCTGAAATACTTTTCAAAAGCTAGCTTATAAGCTAGTTTGTGGTTTACCAAACATGGATTTTTTAATAAGCTCAAAAAACAAACTAGATTATAAGCTTGTTAATGGTTGCCAAATAACGCCTTAATAGTTCTGTGAATTGCATTATGCCTTTGTAGGAGATAATGAGAGTTGGCTGTTCCACATAAGATATTCCATTGTAGTTTGTACATGGCAAAGTGTCAAAACTGAAGAAGAATGTACACACGGAAAGTCAGTTTTGACATTTAGGGGAAATTTTAGTCTTGACTTCAATGTATTGCCCATGTTGGATACAAGTTACTCATAAGTTCCTTTTCCTTTTTCTCATTGACAGGTTTTTCGGGAATCCTTTAAAGGTGATTTTTCTTACTCTATCTCATTTCCAAGTTTTTCTTGGCTGGTTGTATTTAAAAAAGCGAATTTGGAGACCCTAGTATGTATGAAAACTTGAAGTTATTGATATCTATCGTTGCAAAAAGGATAATTCTCAAAATTCCTCTTTTGTGAGGGTAGTTATTCCTAATATTTGGAGTTTTGAATCTCCTATGACGAGTGTGATGTTTGATGTAAAATATGAAGCGAATAGAATGCTGTAGCTTTGAAACATTGATGTATAAAACAAGATAGGTTATCAATTTGAACATTTTGCCTAATTGGTCATTATGCACAAATCTTCACTTGAAATCATCAACGTCTTAAAGGATATTTGTCTACTGAGCATTTTCATAATTGTCCAAGTTCATTCATTGCAGGCTTGGCGGATATTGTTGATAGTAATCGTAAGCTCTTATCAGTAGTGAGTGCAATATTACTAAGTTTGGTAAGAACAAACTTTTGCATTGCTGTTTCATCTTTTTTGAATTCTGCATCAGTTACTAAAGAATGGAAAGAAGAGAAAACATCCTGCAATAGCTACAAATACTATCCTGATACGCCTTTTCTCATTTATATACTGCCGATGATCACGGTTCATGCCTCTTGCAATTGCATCATGATGATGGTGTTTACTGATATAAAAACTATTATCCTAAATCAGAGGCATGTTTATGATCGTGAAATAAATGCAATGCCTTTAGTGTTTTGGGGTTGTTGCTATATAATGGGTTGATTCTGAATGTTACTGAGTATGTAGCTCAGACTTGCAAATATACACTTGTATGTTTGCATGTAGGCACTTCTGAACATACAATTTGTTTCACTAGTGCAAAATGGACTTCTTGTTTTTCAAGGGTCCAAAATAGCAAATACTCAGCTTTTATCAGACATTCTGAAATCTTGCATAGTGGCTAGCATGAACCCAGAGCTTGAGCAATTAATGTGGTGATTTGAATGAAGAGATTTTTATGACTCTACCACAAGGCTTTAGAAACAAAGGCAAAGAGGTTTACAGGTTGAAGAAAAATATTTACAGCTTCAAACAACACCAAAGTAGTGATGCTTGAGCATTGACTCTTGTTTGGACGATAAGGTAAACATCAGTATGTTACACAAGAAATTCTGCAATGAGAATTTTATTATTTTATTTTGGTAAGTTATTGATATGCTGGTTGTGAGAAGGACAGTACACTGAAACTGTGGTTATTCACGACTTTCGATATGAAAGGCGTAGGCCAACTGGACAAACAGCAAGCAGAAAATCACACAAGTTATACAAACATCAAAACAGTGAGGATGTTGATAGGTATGAGAAAGATCACATGAATGGTGCTAAGCCAGTTTGAACACCAGTTTTCACTTATTTTAAGCTTAGCATGAAAGTTCCATACGGCAAAGGAAGGAAGATTGAAAATGGAAATGATTCCTTATTACTTTTACTATCTTGCAAGGTGTTTGCAATTGTACATACAGGATTCAGTATTGCTTATGCAGTTAGCTTTGCCAATAGATGTCTTGGACATAATTTTTTTTTAGTGTTAAGGGAACATAAGTGCTTATAATTTACAGGACCAGAAGCAATCCTGGAAGGATTGACAAATTCTGACATTGCAAATGATGTTGATGGTAGAACAAACACATAAGAAATATTTTTACTTTCACAGGGAGATCTCTTATGGGCAATCCAAACTACAAAGATGTGCTGCCTTGTCAACAAAATAAGCTGAGTTTTTCGTTGTTTCTGAATTATTGAAGAGATATGGCTACAGCTTTTTCTTCTTGAATTGGGTGTCTCGTGGGATGAGTACATGATATTCTATGACATTCAATGATTGATTACCAGTGTGCTATGTATTGTTCCCATATGTAACACATTGATATTCATATCATTAGCTTCGAGATGCAGTTGAATATCACTTGTTCATCATGAAGGGTATGTACTAGCAATTAGCAAAGACCTGACATGCTCATGAAGATTTACTTGATAGAAGCTCGAGTTTTGTAGAAACTAAATGGGGATGTACTAATAAGATTTACTAGTATCCTACATAGGAAACTTATTGGGTATATTCGTCGCCCATGTGGGGGACAAAGAAAATTTGGTGGGATGAGATCATATAAAAGAAGAGATTGAGAACAGATTGTGGTAAAAAGTTGAATACAAACAATGGGAAAAGGAGGAAACCGGCAGAGGAGGGACATTTTGGTTAGAGCAAGCACCGACTTTGGTACCATTTTATAGACATAAAATCAAGTTATGAAGCTCCTACAAGTAAGGTCGAACTTCTCAGTTGAAATTGTATGACAAAGGAGGAGTTGATTTTAGTGTGGAGTGTTGTGAACATACTAGAGAGTATAAAAGCGCTCAAGGGTGTTCCATTATCATATTTGAATATAGGTAATCAGTATTGTACCACAAGTGTTGGGGAACATAAACTAAAACTGCCATGGGTTTTTCTTTTGTGTAGTGCCGGTGATCACAGTGAGTGCATTCTCAATTCTCAGTCTGTTACTTGACAATTCAGTTTATACTCGATCATATAGTGGAAAAAATGTGCTTTTTTACCTTCTTTTGAGGGATTATGATAAAAACCCACTAAAGACATACTCGAGGAAAAGGAACCGGGTCACAACTGCCAATATGGGGCAGTTGAATTCTACTTTTGGGAATTGGCTGAATCCATTAGGCCAAAACAATTGATGGTTCAACTGGCTGAATTTACTCAAATCAATTGATGGCTAACCAAGGAATTAGGGAGCAATTACCACACTTGATTTTAGCAGTTACCATACTTAATTCTAAGAATAGGATAGTATAAATAACAGGCTTGCTTATCATTGTTATCATCGAAGTTACTCATATTTATCTTTTCTTGTAAACGGAGACCTTGCCCCTCTCGAATCGGGCCACTATCAATAAAAAGCTAGCCTATTCCTATTCTTATTAATTTAGTACCTATCAGATTACCACATTGAATTTTGATTTTCCTTTTTTAAAGATGTATTTGGTGTTTTCAATTGGCAAATACAAAGGTCACTTGTGTCTTGTATTTCAAAACTTGTTTTTGATTTTTATGCTTTGTTGAGTGGTTTTGAATGTGGTACTCCTGCTAATTACAGTTGGTTAACATCCACGAAAACAAATCTGTTCATTCTTTCTTCTTCCTATCTAGTCACTGCTATGTGTGTTACCAAATTAAATCCAACTTTTGTGTTTTATGACTGTAATCTTATTTAGGTCCCTTGGATACAAGTGAGTAAATCAAGATCGCTGCTTCTGATGGTTAAGCCCACAGTTTTTCTTGTAGCTGTCTTAATGGGAGCGTATGTTTTTATGAATTCTCTCTTATCTTGTAGTGTGCAAAGATTATTTTTTAATTTCATCTAGTTGTATTAACTTTAAGATAGTTACAATCTTAGTTCCATAGCTAGGATCAACATGAGTTATGGAGTTCATGATCTCTCTTTTTCACAACGAGAGTTTTATCAAACTCTACACAGCTTGAGAAATATACTACTCCCTCCATCCCAAAATAAACGTCCACAATGAAGAAGGCAAATAGCTTTACAAATGTGTAATTATTACACTTCTTATCAACTAAATGACAAGTTTAACCTAAATAATAGAGGGAATAATGAATTTCTCCATCTCATAATTAAGGACAGAATTGGAAAGTAGACACTTACTTTTGAATTAAACACTTATTTTGGGATAAACTAAAATAGAAATGTGGACACTTATTTTGAAAGCAAGGGAGTACTAACCATTACATTTTTGCTTATAAAGATTTTTCAATACTGACCTACTTCATTCCATCATGGAGTCTGGGGTCTGATAAATCTCCTTATATCTGCAAACTTTCTAACTTGTGTTGTTTTTCAATTTGAATACACTGGTCCTACTTTTTGTCAGGAGCCTGATCAACATTGCTGAAAATGTGTAAATCTTTTTGCTTTAGGAGATGTTGTTGCCTTCAATAAATAGGGCCAATACAGGATATATACAGAATGTACTACAGAATATTCACAAAATATTTTATAATCCTTTTCTATTCTATCAAACCCCCGCAGTCGGAGCGGGAGGAGGACGGACGCTCAGACTGGACCGAAAGTTAATAAAAAGCTGCCGAGGGAGTCCCATCTGCATACTTAGTGAATATATCTGCATACTGGTAGGATGAAGGAACATGAAGTGCTCAAACTTGGCCTAGAGCAACTCGTCCCGGACGAAATGAATATCCATCTTCACATGCTTTGTCCGCTGATGTTGAACGGGGCTGCCATACAAGTAGATCGCACTTACATTGTCACAGTAAACTATCTTGGCACGACGAAGAGGACAATGAAGTTTGAGCAAGAGATTGCGAAGCCAACAATGTTCAACGACAACTTTAGCCACGCCTCGATATTCTGCCTCGACACTAGAGAGAGAGAGAGAGAGAGAGTAGGTTGGCGTTTCAAAAACCAAGAAACAAGATTTTCACCTAAGAACACACAACAACCTGAGGATGAGCATTGTGTGTCAGGGCACCCTCCCCAGTCAACGTTCATATAGGCACCAAACTCTAAAGTACCTTTGATGTATCAAATAATATGCTTCACCGATTGGAAGTGAGGCTCCTGTGGTGCATGCATAAAAAGGCGGACCCGTTGCACTGCATAACTAATATCAGGTCGTGTGAAAGTAAGGTATTGGAGAGCTCTGGCGAGGCTATGATATAGAGAAGGATCATTCATGACCGGCCTTGTAGTATCGCTAAGCTTAGATTTCACATCCACGGGTGTAGCAACAGGTTTACATGTGGTCATGCTAGCATGGTCGATAATTTCCTCATCATACTTTCTTTGAGAAAGAAAAAGACCGTCTGTGACTGCAACGTCTAGGAAATAACTCAAAGGGCCCAAGTCGATTATTGGAAATTCAGACTTTACATGGGAGATAAGTGCAACTCATAGAGCATTAGAAGAGGTAGTGAGCACAATATCATCAACGTAGAGGAGTAAATAAGCAAGATCTTTACCCTTTCGATAAATGAACAATGAGTTATCAGACTTGCTGTTTATAAATCCCAACTTTAGAATGTAAGCAGCGAACCGTTGATAGCAAGCACGTGGGGCCTGCTTGAGGCCATATAAGGATTTTCGAAGCAAACAAACATGATGAGGAGCATTAGGGTCGACAAAGCCTGGTGGTTGATGCATATAAACAACCTCCTGCAGGTTACCATGTAGGAAAGCATTTTTAACATCAAGCTGGTGGATAGGCCATGATCGTGCCGTAGCCAAGTTACCACCGGACTGAAAGTCTCAACGCAGTCAATGCCCACTCTCTGTGATTTGCCATTGACTACCAACCTAGCCTTATGTCCTTCAAGAGTACCATCCAACCAGAATTTATTTTTCAATAACCACATGCACCGGATCACATGAGCCCTGGGAGGGAGAGGTACCAAATCCCATGTGTCATTTTTAATCAATGCACTATACTCATCGCGCATCGCTGCATTCCAATTAGGGTCTTGTAGGGCTTGGATATGGGAACGAGGTACATAAGAAGTAGGGACACTGGTGTCGAGGTTGAAGTATTGTTTAGGCTTATAAATGCCGTGTTGGCTCCTGGTTGTGATAGTTCGGGGAGGTGGTGCAGGGGGGGGGGGGTTTGTTGAATGGATGTGGGTCAGGAGGTGGTGGAGATGGGGGGAAGGACGGTTTTTAGGGCGGTTTCAACGACTATTGACTTGGGTAAGAGGAGGTAAGGTGGAAGGGGTTTCAGCCTATGTATTGGACATGGATCGGGAAGGATTGGATGTGGCAAGGTGATGAGTAACGAAAGGTGAAATGCCACTATCATCGAGGAAGTGGTAAGAAGAGGATTGAAACTGGTGAACTTTAGAGAAAGGAAATTCAGACTCGACAAAGGTTACATGATGACCTTATTTTTAGATACGCCATAACAAGGTAACCCCGATGATTGTTAGGGAAACCTAAGAAGACACAAGGCATTGATCGAGGTTCCAATTTGTGTTTAGTGGTGGAAGAAATATTGGGAAAGCAAAGGCACCCTAAGATGCGAGAAGGTAGGGTTTTTGCGATACGAAATTTGAGTCGGAAAGCTATGATTTAGCAGCTTTGAGGGAAGAATGTTGTGAAGGTAGCAAGACATATGGAGGGCATAAACCCAAAAGGAGGGAGGGAGAGACGTGTGAAAGAGAAGAATACGAATGTGGTTATTAGTAGTGCGAATCATTCTTTATGCTTTCCCGTTTTGAGGAGATATGTTAGGACACGAAAAGCGAAATACCATCCCCTTTTTAGCACAAAAATTATGGAAAGTGCGTTGTTGAATTCCCTACCATTATCACATTGGAAGGATTTTAATGGGGCGTTCAAATTGAGTCCGAACAATGTTAACAAAATTTAGAAACTTGTCATACACTTGTGATTTATGTTTTAAGGGGAAAAACCCGAAGGTAATTAGAGTAATCATCAAGAAGTAAGGGATAATAGCAGTATTCCTCTTTAGAAGAACGGAGAGGTCCATAAATCATTATGTATTATTTCAAAAGGATAATGTGTTACATTTGAATAAAGAGAAAAGGGGAGTCAAACGTGCTTTCCAACAGAACATGAATTGCAGAACTTGGAAAGAGACTCCTTATTACATTGTAATAAACTTCTAGAGTAAAGATGTAGAAGAATAGATAAGCCTGGATGACCTAGACGATCGTGCCATTAGTGGAAGAGATGGCGGCAAGAGAGATGTTGTTGATGCTAGGTTGGAGGGTGGACAAAGTGAGGGGGTATAGGTCCGCAGAACTATTGCATCTCGTAAGTCTAATCCCAGTACGAAGGTCCTTCACAAAAAAACCACAAGGGTCAAACTCGATAGAAACACAATTGTCTTTGGTGAATTGTCCAACAGAGATGAGGTTTTTAATAACTTGAGGAACATAAAGTATATGGTGTAGGGAGAGGGGCGGGTGAGGTTTAGGGAGTTGGGATGAGCCGAGACCTTTAATTGGAAGGCAATGACCATTTCCCACCAAGATGTTAGTATGAGTGTGAAAATTATTTTTTTGTGCAAGGTTACCTGCATTGTTGGGTGAGATGAGAGGAAGCTCCTGTATCCATATACCATGCATCATCTGGGGGAGTAAGGCTCATAGTCTGGAATGCTTGAGCAAGATCCGTGGGTTGGTATGAAGTACCGTCACTCGGAGCCGATTGGGGAAACATTTCATAGGCTTGTTATAGCTGACGAGGACTTGCACCAAGTACTCCAGCATAGGAGTTGCGTTGCTGCTGTTGGGGGAAAGGCGTTGATAGGTGTGGACACGGTGGTGTTCCCAGTTTCCCCATGGTGCATGTTGTCCCCAATACTGCGGTTGATGCTGCCAAGGATTTCCACGACCTGCTGGTTGATGTTTTAGCGACCACCCCTGCTGCCGATTTGTCCTTCCCTACCACCGAGCCAGTTGCGGGATCTGCCTCCACGGTCACGCCCATTACCACCACCGCAGGGAGGACCGCCATTAGTGTGGTGTTGAGGAGGAGGAGGCTGACTGGTGTAGTGGTTCACCGTAGGAGGGGAAGGGGTAACAAGAGCAGTGGCATCAGGTTGAGAGCTGGCTTGTTGTGCACGCCTGGTTTCTTCAAGAACCAACCTAGAACGTGCTTTGCAAAAGGCCGGGAGAGGGTCACTTTGTTGGATCATAATAGTCAGTGTCATAATCTTGAGTCAAACCAGAAACAAGTTGAAGCACAAGTTTGCTGTCAGAAACATGGCTTCCAACATTAGAGAGTTGATCAGACAAGTTCTTCAATTGTTGACAGTAGGTAGATGCATTTTGGAAATCACGAAGATGGGTATGGCAAAGTTGATTTTCAAGATACACTCGTGTGTTCTTTTTATCCTGAAAGATGTCAGACAAATGTTGCCAAGTATCCATGGTGATGGAGTCGGGTTTAAGGATTGTTTGAAGGAGATCGGTAGAGATAATGCCATAGATCCATTGTTTAACAATGGCATCAAGTCGTTTCCACAGAAGCTCATCAATATCTGTGGGTTTAGGGATGGAGGCATCAATGATGTCAAGAACGTTGTATGCACAAGCCGCGCATAGCCGCGCATTTGAACAATTCTGCCCAAGATGAGAACTGTACCCTTTCGAGATCAAGGGTAAGGAGTAGAAGGTTACGAATGTTGGTGACAGCTAGGGCTGGATGGAAAGAGGAAGTGGGAGGAGGGGGTCGATCTTTACCTTCGGTCATGATGATGACTAGGGCAGGTGCAGATGGACAGAGAAGAAGCAAGCCTGTTGGCAGCCTAGGGCAGAGATGATGGCGAGGTTTAGAGAGAGCAGAGTAAGGGAAAAGGGGTAAGCTCTGATACCATGAAAATGTGTAAATCTCGTTGCTTTAGGAGTTGTGCATTGCCTTCAATAAATAGGATCAATACAGGGTAAATACAGAAAGTATGACAGAATATTCACAAAATATTTTATGATCCTTCCCTATTTTATCACTTGCTGTTAACTGCTACTTCCTAACTTCCCTTCTTGTTTCTTAATCCGAATATTGTCACTATATATATATATTATATATATATATATATATATATAGACGAAGGGATCGTGTGAGAAAAATTGTTAAGTTGGAAAGTATAAGAAGGGATCTCCACCCTTGATCACTTTTAGTCTCATGCCCACCCATGAACTGCGCCTTAGAAGGGGATTGATCCGGTGCATCTTATTAGTGTTGATCTTCAATTAGGATTGGTCCATGGGTGGATATCCCTTCTTACCATTCTCACCATAACTTCCCTTCTATCCGGAACCCAACCCTATATAGATGAAGGATCGTGTGAAGAAAAGATTCTGGAACCCATTTTAGAATTTTGTTATGAAGATTGAATATTCATGTAGGACCGATCAATTTTTAACTTTAGATAGTAACTTGTCTTGTGCAATAATATAATCTATGATTCATGAAACATCAATTCAAGCGAGCATCTTATGAATTGCAGGCTTCTTCACCTCATACTATTAGGTTTCAATGCCATCTCAATACAAATCCTATGTGCTGTATCTGGTGGCAGCAAGTCAGTTTTTGCGAAGAAGGAAAATTCTAGCGCCCTCTTACTTATTGCAAGTCAGGTGACAATCAATACTCCCTCTGTCCCAAAATAGTGAAAATAGTGATCTTGTTTTAATTTCATAGAACGTTTTCTTGCTTTAAACGAGAGTTGATCTGTTGCATGCTATTTGCAGAAAACATTGCCGGTGCTTGTTGCAGTTGTGGATCAACTCGGTGGTTCATTTGGTGAATCTGGTTTGCTCGTCCTTCCCTGTGTCGCAGCACATTTAAACCAGGTCTAGAAATTCTCTCCATCTGTCTTGTTTATAGCTTTTGCAGGTTGTTAAATTGTAAGCCCTTAGAGCACCATATCCATTTCAAATTGGCACATTAAATAAGTGGTGACCCTTCAAATGTGGGTTATTTTTAAGGGATAACTACAAAAGTAACCATTATGGAAAGGGACCTGCCATAAAACATGATTTAATAGTCAAAATATAAGTTGTTAATGTTGTAACACCTTTTCATTGGAAAAATACAATGGTTGTGGGAGCATATTATATGATGTAGCGAATTTAAGGGGTTATTTTATAAAATATTGAAAGTTGTACGAGAATGGATTATATAGTTAGGGGCCGTTTACCAAACGCTCACTCGGGTAAGTGAACACCAAATCACATTACCTTACAGGATGAATATGGTAAGGACCAAAAATCTTATCCAGTAAGAGTGAGACAAAGACCAAGAGTCTTACCCGGTAAATGAGGGCAACGACTCTTACCACGGTAAGATCTTACCGGGTAAATGGTTGTATACGATTCCGTTTTGGTGGACTAAAATCTTACTCGGTAAGTAAATGATAGTGTCGAATTTTACCGGTAAGCGCTTACCGGGAAAGTGTTTGGTAAACGACCCCTTAGTGTAATGGTAAGGCCACGACACGATGATGAGGCTATATATGAAGGTTTCAGGGCTGGTAATTTTACTCTGGTTTCTCTTCCAATCACTAGCCCTAAAATATTTGTATATAACCTCATCATTGTGGTCGTGGCCTTACCATTGCAATGATGGTATAACAGACCGCACAACGCATAATTCATTACGGTATTACTTTCAAAATTTTATTAAATAACCACCTAAAATTTGCTACATTATGCAATCTGCTCCACAACCGTTATATTTTTCCGACGAATAATCTGTATTTTGACCTACCATAAAAAATGTTCTTTACGCATTTTCACGAATACTGATGTATTTTCAGTTGATGGATTTTGCGAAACGTGTGGTCATTTCGTAGAAGATTCAAAAAATGGGGTCATTTTTGTAATTATTCCCATTTTTTTAACTCACACACCACTCTCTTATAGCTTGTTATGACTCATAAAAGGCAAACCATTGTTCCATTGTGGATGTTTTGTGTAGATTATCATGGACTCTTTCTTAGTAAGTTTTTGGAACAAGAAGGAACAATCACTTGGTGATGCCAAGATGGCTTAGATTGCAATCCAATGTGAAGGAAGACTAGCTTTGTTGTGGAAAAAGGGTTGGCTTTATTTTCAGAACATTTTAACTATATCCATCTCACAATCATCATGGAGTGGTAAAAAATACCAGTTCTGTTGATTGCAACAATTTTAGCGATTGTAATGACTGAAAACATGTTCGGTGGATATATTTATTTTGTTCTTTTCTAGTGATTAGAACATGCACTTGGCGTCGCGACATTTTTTTTCTAAGTATCGTGTTATCTTTCACATTTATAGATGGTCCCATGTACCTTTAAACTTCACTTCTTTTCAAATGGTGGTGGTAGCATTAAGGAAAAACGATGATTTTTTTTATTAACCTGGATATCTAACCCGCTATGCGAGTTGACTAATCTCAGGACGATCACCTGCTTTGCAGATAGTCTGGAGTCACCGCATTTGAATCCCCGTGGCCACAAGGGGGTTTTTATTTCTCCTTGGATTTAAACCTGGGGCTTCCTGATACTTTTGACCTTTGGAGCTAAGTTCAAACCAATCAAATTAGCTTTTGCACAAGTGATCCAATCATATCTAATGGATGAATGGATTGTATCAATGCTAATATTGGTTATTTTACTTCATCAATGCAATATTTTGAACCAATTTTCAACACATATAACTTAAAAAGCACCATTTATTTGTATAAATTGAAATACTAACATAATTTATAAGAGGAAAACAAGTCTTGGTACATTAAAACACCAAATAAAAATACCACAAAATAAATAATTCATCCATGATACGTGGACGGTAATTCGATTTGATTGGTATGGACTTGTTGATTTTGAAATGTCATCCGATAATTGATAAATCAAAATTGGATATTGAAATATTGGATTCGGTGTAATTTCAAATAGATATTCTATTTTATTTTGGAGTAATTTTTTAGCATTGCGTTTTTTTTAATCAAACCGAGTGCATAATCTTTACAACCGTTGAGAATTTTCTTTAATAAAGAAATTATGATAAGATAATTACTTTTAGATTATAAGATTCACAATTGATTAATTCTCTTGTTCTTGATTATTTTGACTTCTTTAAACGACAATGAAACTTAAAGATTCGTAGAAAGACTATTGGTGGCAAGTGGAAACATTTCTTTGGCCCCTTCAAGAAAAGAAAGATAAAGAAATGTGTGTGCTGAGACCCGTCACAAAAGAATCATATTCCACAGTCATTGAAGAGAGTATCGATCACTGAACCGACTATTTAAATGTAAACATGGTTACGATCCTGCTAAGGTTGAACCAACCTTGGGTAAAAATTGATTTAAAGGGGGGGGGGGGGGGGGGGGGGTGTCCTAAAGTCAAGAATCCCATACACGTCTAATGAGTTTGAAACTCTTAATTTCTAAAAAAGTTGGGTTAATAGAAATAGCTGAACCAAAGACCCTTTAGCTTGACTTTAGCATTGCTGGAGATTTCGACATTGTTTGGCCAAAATAAGCTAACTTATAAGTATAGTTGTTCATGGGTGGGACGACCCGTTAGACCCGGCCCATCCGGCCCACTAGAAATATGAGTTTGGACAACCATTATCGAGAAAATAGAGGGACTCGGATTTGTTCGTTAAAATTAACGGGCGAACATGAGCAATGTGGAAATAAATATGGACAGGCCCGTCCGGCCCGTTTATGTTTAATTAATATTTTTTTACTGTTAATTAAAATTACATTATTAAAGTTATAGGATAGGAGTTGGATTTTTTTTTCTTGAGAACCCAAAAGGCCCTACATTATCATTGTTAGCTTACTGTTACTTTTCCGGTTGTAACAATCATTAATATTAATTACTATTAATTATAAATAAATATAAATTAATTATTAATTAATATTACTTATATCAATTTTTTTATATTATTATATATTTTTATTAAATATGATGAGTTATC